AGGAGCTTGTATTAATCTTTTCTTCAATCTGTGAAGGCTCGTTCACAGTCTTGGTTCCACCTCACTTGAGTGGGCTCCTTCTTGCAGATCAGGCGAGTCAGTGGGTCCGTAATCATGACATAGTTAGGTATGAACCTTCGATAATACCCTGTCAGGCCGAGAAAAGCTCGTACCTCTCTCTTCGTCTTAGGTTGAGGAAACCTTTCTATAGTTTCCATCTTTAATTTCTTAGGTTGTACCACCCCGGAACCAATTTGGTGTCCTAAATAGGTTACTGTCCCTTTCGCAAAGGTGCATTTTGCTGGCTGTAGCGTTAGGTTTGCTGCCTCCAGGATTTGAAACACTGTCTTCAGATGCCTAAGATGGTCTTCCCAAGTGGTGTCGTACACGACGATATCATCTAGATAAACTGCTACAAAATCGCTAATATGTGCAAATAGACTATTAACCAGTGACTGGAAAGTCGCTGGAGCATTGTGCAGTCCAAAAGGCATCATCTCGAATTCATATAGTCCGTAAGGCGTTGTGAAGGCAGTATATTGTTTCGATCCTTCTTCCATAGGGATCTGCCAGTAACCCTTAGATAAATCTAGTGTAGTAATAAATTTAGCATTACCTACTATGTCTAGCAAGTCGTCGATCCTAGGTAGTGGGTAGGCATTAACTGTAGTACAGGCGTTCAGTTTTCGGTAATCTACACACGGTCGATATGTTCCGTTCGGTTTCTTCACTAAAATCACCGGACTTGCCCAAGGACTGGTAGACTTTCGTATGACTTTCAGCTCCAACATTTCCTGGATCGAGTCTCGTAACGCTTTCTTCCTAACCCCCGGCATTCGGTAGGCTTTCTGTTTGATCGGTTCGATATCTTGCTTAAGAACCACCTTATGGCTTACTAAACTCGTCCTTCCTAACTTATCCGTAAAGGTGTTCGGAAACGTAGAGATTAGGTGTTCCAATGCCAACCTTTTACTGCTGGCTAACGTAGGATCAAATAAATTCATATCAAAATCCCTTCGAGCTTCTCTGAAGTATGGAATATCCTCCTCTTTCTTCTCTTCAGTTTCATTGGCTAAGACTGAGTGCGAGTCAGATGTTCGCCAAACACGATTGTAGGCTCGATCCAATCATTAAATGTTACGTTTCCATTTACAGAGAGAAAATGAGATGATATCGATCAATTAACCATTTAACAAATTTACACAAAACCCGTAAACTATATGTATTTATTGAATGCATAGACTACTAAAAAAATATTATTTTTTTCTCGTAGTCCATGTTGAATGCTTGTTACACCTACAATCCTACATGTGTGCGAATACAACGGAGTGTCACTGACAGTGGCTACGTTTACTTATATACCTTTACTTCTCATTTTGCCTATATAACTAGTCTTGATTGCCAGTTTCGCTGTGAGCTAGCCTATTATTCATTTGTGCAATAGTAAATGTAAAGAGAAAAGACA